CTTTTGAGTTCTCTGTTCTGGTTTCTCTGTTTATTTAGACCAAGATGTCTCAATCTTGAAAATGCTGGATCATCTTCTGTCATGGGGCCGTCCTGTGCCCTATATGATGTTAATTTAAGCAGCATCTCTGGCCTCCACCTGCTCGATGCCATTAGCAGTCCCATATCTCCACCCTGTCCCAATCATGATAACCAGAAATGTCTCTAGACATTGTCCAGTAAGTATCCCGTGGGAGCAGAATAACCCCTGACTGAAAACTGATTTAGACTCTAAACTGCAGATGGGGTAGGGGGTGAATCACCCTCTAAATTTTCATGGGATTCTGAATGAGGGTGTCTCTTAGCCAGAAGTTAGGGTCCCAGGCACACCCTTGTCTTCCAGCATCTGTGGGTCTCTGGCCACCAGTGTCACCGAAGAGAATGTTGTGACATCTCTGGTCTTATTTTTGGTGACTTGGGTTTCTACTGCAGCTCTTGAGTTTTTTCCCATCCTCGGAGCTCAGGGATCTGCCAGGTTCACCTGGGAACGCTCCTTTCTTGTGGTCCACTCTGGACTCGGGCCCCTCTTCAGCTCAGGAAAATGTCCTTCTAGGATTCTGTTCATTCTTCCATCATTTTTCAGTTCACAGTCTCCTCTCAAGATTATGATTTGCCTTTTTGGGTCTCCCAGACCTGCCCTCCGGATGGTGAACCACCTGCTGAGGCTGGCAGCTAACCCAGGGACGCCATGGAAACAAGACAGGCTCTGTGCCACCCGCAGACAGGGTCCCCAGCTGCTCAGACTCCACCAGCTCATTCCCACCTCAGTGTCTTTGCACCTGCTGTTCCCTCCCTGGGGATCTTTCCCTCACAACCTCAGCCATGATGGCTCCTCTGTGCCATTCACATACCAGCTTAAATGTCATCCAGACCTCAAAATCCACACCCGCCACCCAGCCCCATTTACTCCCGTGGCATTCATCCCCTCGTATCTCTTCACCAAGGTTTTTATTTAGTGTTTGTTCCCCCTCAAGCATGTGGGTCCCAGAGTGGCAGAGACATTGAGGTATCCCGTGCCTGTTCACCACTGTGTCCCCGCTCCCGGGAGGTGCCTGGCACACAGGAGAAGCACAGTAAGTATTGGCTCGAATGAATGAATGTATAAATTCATTCTGAGAGTCAATATATATATATGGAGTCGCCATGCCATGCGACTTCCGGGATCTTAGTTCCCTGACCAGGGATCGAGCCCGTGCCCCGTGAAATGGAAGCACGGAGTCCTAACACCGGACCTCCAGGGAAGTCCCAAGAGTCAATATTTTTTCAGATGCTGTGGCATCCCAGCATTCGTTCGTTCATTCATTCATTCAACACACATTTACTGAGCGCCTACTACGCACCAAGCACAGTTCTAGGGGCTGGGGATAAAATGATGAATAAGACATTGTATGGAGCTTGTATTCTGGTGGGGAAGATGGATGAGAAGCAGTACGTTTTTTAAGGTTTTTAAAATTAATTAATTAATTAATTTTTGGCTGCGTTGAATCTTCGTTGCTGCACGCAGGCTTTCTCCAGTTGCGGCGAGCGGGGGCTACTCTTTGCTGCGGTGTGCCGGCTTCTCACTGCGGTGGATTCTCTTGCTGTGGAGCACGGGCTCTAGGTGCACGGACTTCAGTAGTTGTGGCACACGGGCTCTAGAGCGCAGGCTCAGTGGTTGTGGTGCATGGGCTTAGTTGCTCCATGGCATGTGGGATCTCCCCAGACCAAGGCTCGAACCCATGTCCCCTGCATGGGCAGGTGGGTTCCTAACCACTCCGCCATCAGGGAAGCCCTATTTTTTAAGTTTTTATTTTAGGAGGTGAAAAGTGCTGTGGAAGAAAGAAAAAGTAGGCTAGGGTGGGGGATCAGGGCTGCCAGTGAGATGGTGTGTCCTGAGGAGGTGTTCCTGAGAAGGGGACATTTGAGCAAAGACAAGAAGGAGGGGGAGGAGGGAGCTGTACAGAAACCTGGAGAATCAGACAGAGGAAACAATCTGTGCAAAGGTCCTGAGGCAGGACCGTGCTCAGCATGTTTGAGGTTAAAATCCCAACCACACTCTTACATGGGGTTAATTCCCATTTTACTTTGAAGCTCAGAGAGGTCAAGCTTCTTTCCCAAGGTCACACAGCAGAACCTGTGGAGTGGGATCTCAGCCCCATTTCGGGGAGACAGCTGGCTGGAGAGGCCTTGGCCAGGCAGTGTGCAAAGACAGTGATGGGCACGTTGGGGAAATGGCCTCATGGATCAGGGAAGGAGCCTCTGTCCCCAGCACCAGCACCCATTTGTGGCTGTAGATAAAATGGGGAACTACTCTCTTCTTGCTCCCAGGCAATTGCTGGGTGGGGTTGCTTGGAGCTCGAGGGGCCTACCAGAATCCACTGACTACCCCACAGTGTTTCAGGTGCCAGAGGGGAGAGCGAGGAGACCCCAGATGAGCACAGACATCCTGAGGAAATCTGAGGTAAGTGCTGGGGTTCACATATTCATTCAACAAATACTTGTTGAATACCCACTAGGTACCAGGTGCCGAGAACTCCCTTCACACCTGCACAACCTAGTGAGTTGCTCAGATGCCCCCTTTATAACTGAGGAAACTGAGACCCTAGGTATGGAGGGCACACAGCCAGGGAGTGATGGAGTTGGGAGTTAAACCCAGGAGTTGGGCTCCAGAGGGCACCTCTCTGAGGTGAGACAATAAGTGTTTACTGAATTGGTAAGTTTTGCCTTGGGTCTAATCTGGCATTTTCGTGCTGCGCTGGAAGATATATCTTCAAATTTAGGGCTGGAACACAGCACAGATACCACCTTTCCAGACAAAACGACATTGAGGGAGTCCAGGGAAGCCTGGGAAAGGGATCTGGACAGGAGACCAAGGGCTCTGCCTACATATAGGAAAGGAAATCTTCAGGCGGCGGGGGGC